TTTTTTGTTTTTTTTGGGTTTTTTTTTGAGACATGGGGAAACAGAGCATGAGCAGGGGAGGGGCAGACAGCGAGGGAGACACAAAATGTGAAGCAGGCTCCAGGCTCTGGGCCGTCAGCACAGAGCCCAATGCAGAGCTCCAACTCACAAACGGTGAGATCATGACCTGAGCTAAAGTCGATGCTTAACGACTGAGCCACACAGGCGCCCCTAAAGCTACTTAATTTCAAAAGATAGATAGCTTAACAATATTGACAGCGATTATTGATTATTGCGATCCATATGATTTTCATAGAAATCATCTTCTATTGTGCTCTTGTTTAAACTACTCTTTGTAGAATGAATCTTCAAAGAAAGCATGGTGTCAGGCAGGAGGAGGTGTGTCTTAATTATTTCACCTCTATGTCAGGCTGTACCAACTACAACAGCCCCACGAAAGCTCCTCTATCAGAAGGAAGGGGAAACAATGAGATGGAATCCAGGCCTAACTGGAGGTCTCAGGACTTCGCCCAGGCCTGAAGCAAGCCGAGGAGAGGCTCCCAGCACCCTGCAGGAGTGTGGCTGGGGGGTGCCTGGCAGGGAGCTACGTTAGTATTGGTCTGGGTGTCGAAACTAAGCATGTGAAAGAGGACCCGACTGTCCGAATCTTGATGATAGAATAAGCCAATGGAAACTCTTACAGTCCAGGCGCTTTTTTCACAACATAATGACCCTAAATTGCTCATTTCCTGGTTATTTGGTATGTGTGCCTGTTGAGGGGGGTGGTGCAAATGAACAGATGTTTTTGCCCACTGTCTGATCAGCAATCTGCAATTAGACCCCAAGGAACAACCTGCTCATTGTGGTTAGGGGCCATTAGCCACTTAAATAATGACATCTGTCATCATTTTCATACCTCATCCTGTCCCGGATCTTATCTTCAAACTGTGCTCAACACGAATGCCTGAGTTTCCTAAAATAGACAAACTCAGTTTTAATAGCTCTACTCCAGTCACCATCTTGATGAAGCGTTTCAGGGTTGAACAGTATATAGTTCGCAACTTCCTCAATTTTCGATGGGGTTAGCTCCTGACAATCCCATCACAAATTGAAAATATTGTAAGTCGAAATTGTATATTGTTACTCTACCTAACCTACCAAACATCATAGCTTAGCCTAGCCTGCCTTAAATGTGCTCAGAACACTTCCATTAGCCTACAGTTGGGCAAAAATCATCTGACACAGAGCCTATCATTTAATAAAGTGTTGAATAGCTCCTGTAGTTTATCAGATCCTGTACTGCAAGTGAAGAACAGAAGGCGTGATGGGCACAGAAGGGTCATGAGTGTATTGCTTGTGGAAGTCGTGATCACGTGGCTTATTAGGAGCTGCCCCACATCAGAGAGGGTTAGCACAGCATTTCACCAGCCCACAAAAAGATCTAAGTTCAAAATTCCAAGTACAGTTTCTACTGAATGCGTCTGCTTTTCCATACCCATTGTAACACCTAAAAATTATTAAGTCACACCGTCCTGGGGGCCCATCCATAATCACTGAGTGCTTCTCACAAGCCTGGTGTTGTATAAAGGTCTATACAAACAGCATAAAACACTGAGCCCGCACAAGAACTATCTGAGATACAGGCTATCATTCTCCCCATCTTATAGGTACAGGAGCTGAGGTGCTGAGAAGTTTAATAATTCACATTCAGAAGGGAACATAACTTGGTTTCATCCTGAAGTCTGTTGGACTTTATGCTATACACTGACACAGGTTCTGTGCACCATTTGGCTGGTAAGATATTGACAATATACTAAAATGATGGAAGGACGTATAGTCAACATGGTTTTGTACAAAGAGCCAAAATAAGATACTGGTTTTAAAACAATGGGACATTTATTGAATGCAGTGACTCTCAAGTGGGAGCAAAAGTGGTTGCCTCAGTGTGGGGCACTTGGAAATGCGTGGGGCATTTGGAAATGTGTGGGGTCATTTTTGGACGTTTTTGTTGCTACATTAGCCTGTTACAATGGTGGTCTTCCAGGATGTTGAATGTCCCGTGGGGCGCAAAACAGCTCTAGACAACAACGAACTGTCTGGCTCTGAATCTCACAGAGTGCTAAGAAACACTGATAAAATGGAGTCGTAGTTTGCCAGAAACTCAAGCATGTGGCCAACTCGAATGCTTCAGGGATCAGCCAGGGACCAAAGAATACATACCCCTTCTTAGGGCATCCAAGTCCAAATCTTTAAAGCACTTCATCAAACAAAATCACCCAGGTGCCGAATTTGGCCCGAGGGCCTTCAGAGTGGAGCTTTTTAATGAAGGCTTTTCTGATCTGGAGACATGTTTACCACGTATTCAGTGAAGAGGAAAAGCTGCTAATCAGTACGATGCCATGTTTAGACAAGACCGTACGTGTGTACACACGTATTTACCCGCACACATATGCAGAGTCCGTACGTGTTTCTGGAATAAACCGCGGGGTGATTTTGTGAAATTTTTTGCTTGTTTGCATTTTAAATTCTACCACAAATATCTATTAGTTGTTTAATTTTTAATGAGTAAGGAGAGAAAGGAGTCTTAAAAGAAATTAAAATTTAAGTGTGGCTTCAGAACACAGCCCTAGTGGCTTTCTGGACACCCCCTTGGATGAAAGGAGAATAATTTCTGTGATTAGTGAGACATCAAATGCGAGGTAATCAATACTGACAGAGGGGGCACCTGGGTGGCTCAGTTGGTTAAGCGTCCAACTTGGACTCAGCTCATGATCTCATGGCTCGTGAGTTTGAGTCCTGCGTTGAGCTCTGCGCTGACAGCTCGGACGCCGGAGCCGGCTTCGGATTCTGTGACTCCCTCTCTCTCTGCCCTCACTGCTCACTCTCTGCCTCTCTCTCTCAAAAATAAATAAACATTAAAAAAATACTAACATACTAGAATGCCTTTAAAAATGGAACACTGTTGGGTTCCCAGGCACAGCAGCCTGTGATTTTCGCATCATTCCTGATGCCAGAGAGCTCTCCTGCTGAAATCCAATCTTTCTTTTGCAGCTGCCCCAGAAATCAATACTGTAATTTGCTTGAGAAATCAGTACCTGTCGACATTTTAAGAGGGTTTATCCAAAATAAGACAAGAGTCAGGCATTGAAAATATAACTATGCCCCTTTTCCTGTAGAGTTGCCCAATCCTTCAAGATCATTGTTTTTTCCTGAAAAAAAAAAAAATCCCCGTTTTGCTTCATCTCCATCATTTTTGTGTTTTATTTCCAGCGTCTTGGCTCTGCAAATTTCATTCTGTTCACAAGTCACTCTTGGCTAAGCTTTCTTTCTGGAGTTTGCTCATCACTTGGGGGGGTGAGGAGGAAGGTACTGGATTTTCTACTCGATAGTCTATGGCCTTCAGGAACTTCCTGGAGTCCTATCTCATCTGCCTTTTGGGGTGTGTCCACCTCCTGCTCCCTTCCCCCCTCCCCACTGTAGCCCCTTCTTACCAGCACCTGATGCTCACGAGGCAACCGGGCACATTTAACTTGAAAAGCAATGGGTAGATAGAGTCGGGTTCCTTTGGAGAAGTATCTAGAATTTATTATGTAGAGAAGGGGGTAGGTTACGGAAGCATGATGAAGAAATTGGCTGTGTGTTGCTTCCAATTTTTGATTTTGTAAAGAAAAGTCACTGCCAAGGACTGGATTGTTGGTATGCGAAAGGAGATGGTGGTATTTTCTCTCTGGAGACTTCCAGCCGGCCAACGCCCACAGCTCTGGAAAGGGTTTGGTGGCAAACCCCACACCCTTCCTGCCCGTCAGTGCCTCTCTCTCTTTCTCTCTTAATTCTTGGTCTGAGTTCTGATTTTAGAAAGCTCCAGTGTGAAAACTACAAATAAAAACCAAACTCTTAGCCCTTAGCCCTTGGAAACCCTGATGGGGGAAATAAGCCTCAGGAGCAGTAAAAGACTGTTTAAGGTTTCTGGTCTGCAGCAGGGCTGTGGGCAGTTGTCTCCCCATCTCTGATGAGTAAGTATCATCTCAGAGGCTTTAAAATTATCCTGCCTTTGTCTTACAGTAAATTCCATATTCCACAACATGCCGCCGAAATTCATAAGCTGATTTTTTAATTAAAAATTTTAAATGTTTATTTACTTTTTGAGAAAGAGAGAGAGGCAGAGTGTGAGCAGGGGAGGGGCGGAGAGAGAGGGAATCATAGAATAAGAAGTAAGCTCCAGGCTCTAAGCTGTTAGCACAAAGCCAGACGCAAAGCCTGTGCTCCCACCAGCCGGGAGATCATGACCTGAGCTGAAGTCAGGCGCTTAATCGTTTAATCGACTGAGCTGCCCAAGCCCCCTGATTTTTTAAAATCAACATATTCATGAGGGTGTAACAGCATCCAGAGTCTATACCCTTACAACATCCAGAGTCTAAAGCCCCACAAAGCCACCCATGGTGTGTGGGTGATTTCTTTTTTAGATTTATTTATTTATTGAGAAAGGGAGAGGGCAAGCAGGGTGGGGGGGAGGGGGAGAGAGAGAGAGAGAGAGAGAGAGAGAGAGAGAGAGCGAGCGAGCGCATCACAAGCCAGCTCAGCACTGGCAGTGCAGAGACTGATGCGGGGCTTGAACTCACAAACTGAGATCATGACCTGAGCTGAGACAAAGAGTCTGCCGCCTGACTGAGCCACCCAGATGCCGCAAGATTTGGATTGCTTTAATGAATCTCTCCTGGCATATTTGCGCGAGTTCAACCCCTTGGTGCTTCCGGCAGCAGGTGAAGGTTCTGGGAGAGCCGAGATCAGCTGCACACGTAGGCTTGCACTTCGAGCCCAAATCCAGCCTCAGCCTCTGCCCCCTGAGTCTCATGATGCGTGTTATTAAAAGAGGTCGCTGATATCTCGGCCATGGGACTGTGTGAACAGTTGGATGGCGGGGGTGCCAGCTGCTGGCATCGAGCGCATTTCCCTCCACCCCCCCTCCCCCCGCCTCCCTTTAGGTGCTGACGCCTAACCACGAGGTCCTGCCTGTTTTGTAGCTTCAAACATTGAAATCTGGGAAGACGAAAGCCAGTGACGCAGAGTGCCCCTGAGTTTGCCTGAGGGGAATTGGAGCGTGGAGCCCAGAGTCCTGCCCCGCCGCCGCGCCCCTGCAGGTCTCTAGGACGTCCCGCGGGTGGCGCCACGCAGAGACTGGGTGCCCAGCGCGGTTCCTTCTGCGTCCACAGAGCCTGAGCCTCACCGACGCCCCCGCAGCCGCCCTGCAAGCTCACCATGCTGACAGAGTGAGTGGGCTCCCGGCTTCCCAGCGCGCACACCGCCTTCCCTGGCTCCCTACGCCTTCCCGTCCAGAGAGGCAGAGAGACCCGCTCGGAGACACACAGCAACGCCAGCTGGCGGCCCCTGGCTGGGGGCGGGGCGGGTTCGCAGCTGATGAGGAGTCTCGGCAGTCTCTGACGCTGACCCTGCTCCTTTCCCAACAGAGACATGAAGTTCTGGCACGGCTTGGTGATCGCAGTGGTGTCCATCATCCTACAGACCTGCCTCTTCGCCGCCGTCAACTACCTGCTCAGCAGGCACATGGGTAAAGAGCCTGGAGCTCTCTTTCCTCCTGTCGCCTGCAGGGACCGTCCCCCAGGCTACAGCACGGTGATACCCCCCCCACACACACACATACCCCTTGCCTACCTTCTTGAGGATCCACCCGCCAGGTCATCCCTTACCGGGTAATCCCCACTCGGATCCAACCTATTTGTGGCTGGGAATAATGGCCCAGAGCCCTTCCACAGCCCAGACTCTGTCCTTAGGGACAAACTCCTGCAGTATTCTGGAGAGTGGGCCCAGTCAGCCTGGGCCTAACTAACGTTCTTCACCAGCAAAGGGATCAACGTGAAGAAAGGGCTTCGAATTCCAGCAGAAGGGAATGTGACTAGACTCAGAGATGAACTTAAATTCTTTTTTTTTTAACAAGTGTTTTTTTAATGTTTTATTTATTTTTGAGAGAGAAAGATAGAGACAATGTGAGCAGGGGAGGGTCAGAGAGAGAGGGAGACACAGAATCTGAAACAGGCTCCAGGCTCAGAGCTGTCAGCACAGAGCCCGACACGGGGCTTGAACCCACGAACCATGAGATCATGACCTGAGCCGAAGTCAGACGCCCAACCGACTGAGCCACCCCAGCGCCCTGAACTTAAATTCTTGAATTGATTTACAGTGGAAAGTAGAGAAGTCCTGTTCTGGGGTGGCGTTATAATTAGGGAAAATAAAACAAAGGAAGTCTAGGCCTCTGTAGCCATTCATTCATTCATTCAGTGTAACAGGGAACAAAATAAAAGTCTCTGTCCTTATATAACTTTCACACCATGGGGGGGCACAGAGAACAAACTAGATAAACAGGTAATACACACGTGTTAGATTATGGTGAGTGCTGGGAAGAAAAAGATGAAGCAAGGCAGGGAGGTTTGAGCTGGAGGATGGCCAGCATCGCTGGAATGCCGACATTTTAGTGTATAAATGTCTCGAAGTGAGGAGGGGAGCTGCACCTGCAAAGGCCCTGAGGCAGAAAGCTGTTTGGCAGAGAGGCCAGCGTGGCTGGAACGGAGAGAAGGGGGAGCAGCAAGGCCACGGAGGGGCTTGGAGGCTGGGGCCTCAGCTTGTCCTCCCAGTGAGGTGAGAGGCTCTGCAGGGTTTTGAGCAGATGCTGAGGTTTGAAGAGGTCCCTCTGAGTGTTCTGCCGTATCGAGGGCCGTGCTCAGAGACAGGATGTTACTGACCTGGAGAGCTGTCACTTCTGACCCTTCCTCTGTCCCCTTTAGCCAACGAGAGTGAGCGGATACTGAAAGGGGCCAGGCTCCAGGCCCCCTGGCCCAGCCCTGCCCACCGTCAGCCATGCGCCGCCAAGGAAGAGACGCAAGGCGCCCCTGTGCCTGAGTCCCGTTGCAGGCGTGAGTAGCAGGGCGGGGGAAGACCTTGCCATAACGCTTACTCTGCTCTGTCCGGGCCGTGGAGAGCTGTCCTGCCGCAGCCGGGCTCTGTCTTGCCAGCCCAGTCCTGAGCTGGAACATTCCTCCCACCCACCTCAGCGAAGGCCTCGCCAGCCTAGCTTTCCCAGCAAGCTGCTCTTCCTGTCACGGGGGCAGATCTCCCTGGGTTGGTGTGGGTCTGCGTTCTTTTCCAAGTCTGGTTGTGTGTGAGCCACTGCCGGGGGGCTTGGCGCTGCCTCTGCTCCTGTCTTTGTCACTGATACTATGACACCTGTTTCCACCTGACCAAGATTTCACCTCCCTCTGCTGCCTCTGGCCACGGTATCTGGGGGTTTTAATAAATACCGGGGTTGGTGATGGTGCAAACCAACAATCACCTCTGGCGGGCGAACCGGCAGGAATACCACCATCTGGCTTTCTCCCTCGGGGCTTGGGAGAGCCACCAGGTCACTGCTGCACAACGGAAATTGCTGCTTGCACAGGACAGCCGGCCGGCTGTGCACTCGCTCCCCAGAGATCGCACCTTTTCCAGCGGGTTATCCCTTGATGGATTTGCGTTCGCTTCGACCTTCCAATCTTATCTTCTCAGTTGGAGAGATCTGGTGGTCAGGCTTCCCTGGCACTGAGATAAGACCTCAGCGCAGGAGACAACCGGAAGAGACGGCTCATGTGACTTCAGGGTTTCTGCAGAAAAGGAGGGGCCATGGCCTCATCGTGACCCTGGCCCTAGACCTTCACCGAAGCCTGGCCAGAATCAGACACTCTGGCAGCGACCTCAGAGATCATCATCTAACCATCTTGTTTCACAAGGGAGCAAAATGAGACACAAAAATGGATGCCCGCTGCCTACTAGAGTTAGTGACGGGTCTAGAGCAAACCCCGTGGCCAGGACTGCGGAGGCCGGAGCTGTGTGCCACGGGCTGCGCTGCATCGGCTTGTCCCTGCTTATCTCTTCCAGCACAATCAAGTGCTGTTAGTGTTAGATGGAGCTGGACCGAGCGGGGGTGCCTGGACTCTAAGGCACATTCTTGCCTATTTGCGGAGGGGGTGCGGGGGGAAGCTTTCGCTCCCCACCCTTTCTCTGTTCAATGTCTCCTTTCTCTACCAGGGGTATCTCCCTTCCCCACTTGTCTTTGCATGGCTGGCTCTGCCTGACTTTGTCTCCTTCTCCCTTCCATTGTGCCCATCCCTCCTAACCCCTCCCCTGCCCCCAGTGTTCCCTAGAAGAACAGTTTCTATTTCTCCCTAGGTGACAGTGACACATCCTCAGACAGCTCCAGCAGCTCGGACGTCTCTGGGAGCTCGCCGGCCACCTGCCAGGTAACGGACACCCCTAGTGGTCCGAGCCCTTTGTACACAGCTGGGGCCCTTGCTGTAAAAGACTGAGCGTCCAGGCCACCCCAGCTGCAGGGATGTGAGCAGGGGTGGAGGGGCTATTTGAGTCATTACAACATCCTTAGGTGACCGGTGGTCGAGTTTACGGCATCCGCACAAAATGGGTCTGAGCGAACTGTAAAAATGCAAGTGTCGATGGACCACCTCCTCCTCTCCATAGCCCAGGCGGGCGGCCAGAGCCTGTTCTGAGTCCTGACCTCACTGGGGTTGTGTCTCCACATCTTTCCTGAAACCCATTAAATCCCTGCAGACAGGAGGCACAGAGCTGTCGGTAGTGCCTGTCCCCGCCCCCCCCCCCCCCCCCCCCCCCCCCCCCCCGGCCCCTCGGCCTGACCCTGCTCTCCCGCACAGTCACCTGGGAGCCAGCTTCTCTCCCTGCCAGCCTAGGGCAAGGCGAGGGTCGTTGAGGGAGAGTTCAGTCCTGGGGTGTCCCCTCCTCTAACCCTGGTAGGAATCTTGACCCACGTTTCTCTGCTTTTTTCCCCTAAGGCCACCAAGGATGTGAATTACACACAAGTGGTCTTTTCAACCCCTGGAGGACTAAAAAATGAATGTGCCCTGGACTATGAGAACATAAAGGAAACCACAGACTATGTCAATGTCAATCCAAAAAGCCACAGGCCCAATTTCTGGACTTTTGTGAACCCTGCCGACCCTGAGTCAGTAGAATACACTCAGGTGGCCATGTGAGTTCTAGGGTTCCAATGAGGTGCAGTTCTCTACAAATTCTTGCACTTATTTTGTAAGGGAATAACTTTTGTTTTTTAACCAAGACATAGAAGGATAAGTAGGCCTGTAACTCACTCAGCAAGAAAGATTCAGATCAGACGTCAAGTAGAACTTCCAGGATAAAGATGAATGAGTGGAGATAGCAATAGAGAAAGCGGTAACGCCTTTCTCCATAGAAAATTGTGAGAAAAATGTTTCATCAGCTGTAGTAGAGTTCTGTTTGGTAACCTTACCCTTAAGATGACTCACTGAGCTCTTTAATTTTTTGCCAATAAACGACTTCCTTAAAATTTTTAAATGAAACGGCAACTGCCAGTTCCTCTTTTCCTCCGGCCTGACCCTGCACGCTGCCCCTTTTCAGGGCTGTGTCTGGCTGAGCATTGCCGCTCTGCCCTCAGCACTTTAAACAGGCCACTTAGGAAGCCCACCATCATCCAACCTTCGAATTCCCTGTTTTTTTGGGAACAAACAATGACAGAGATAAACCCCAACTAGCATCACAATCTGGGATCCCAGGGGAAAACCTCCCCAAATTCAATCCAATAGAATGTAATATTCTTTTCTGGATTGTTCTTTGTTTGCTTGCTTAAAGCCGGTTAGGAATACAAGGGCACTTTCTTAGCTTGATTAAGAATAGCTTGTTTCAGGGGGGACTGGGTGGCTCAGTTGGTTAAGCATCAGACTCTGCATCTCAGCTCAGGACATGATCTCATCGTTCATGAGTTAGAGTCTCACACCAGCTCTGCGCTCACAGCACCAAGCCTGCTTGGGATTCTCTCTCTCTCCCCTCCTTCCCTCTCTCTCTCTCTCTCAAAATAAATAAACATTAAAAAGAAAAAAGAATGGCTTATCTCAAATCAGCTAACTGCATGATATTTATGGGTAAGATCCTAGACATAGCTTTATTGAATCATGAATCATAGTTTGTAAGTGTCCTCAAACTTGTCATTTTCTTCATCTCACATTGTTCTAGAAGTCCTGATTGGAAGAATAAAACAGTTGCGTAAAGTAAGAGCTGTCAGTACTGGAAAGGAGGATCAGCTGCGTCACTGTTTGCAGACAGGCTAGTCCTACAAATTCTCAGAGAATTAACTTTAAGTGTTTTTAAATTGATAACGCGCAGTAATAACCACATACATACACAATATACTTTTTCTAACAGCTAATTAAGACCTGAAATTTAAAAAAATTTACTCACATTACCTAAACAAACATTCCAAAGATGGAAGCCCGAGAAACACGCGAGCCAAATCCCAAGCCCAGATGAGTGGCGTCCAGATCTTAGAGACAATTTGTTAACTGAGCTCCACCTGCCGGCTGTACATGACCTTTCAAGTCCATTTCCATGTTCCCAGCTTCCTCTTCCCCGAGGTAATCTGAAGAAATGGTTTTGGTTTGGGGTTCTAGGGCTGTGCTATTTTGCTGGCCTACGTGCCCCTCCAACTTTTGGGTATCATTGTTGTTCCTCTCCGGCTATGATTTGAATGTTTGTAGCCCCTTAAATTCGTCTGTTGAAATCCTAAACCCCCAAGGTGATGGTATCAAGTGTGGGGCCTCTGGGTGGGATTAGATGGAGGGTGTGGGATTAGATGGAGGGTGTGGGATTAGATGGAGGGTGTGGGATTAGATGGAGGGTGTGGGATTAGATGGAGGGTGTGGGATTAGATGGAGGGGGTGGGATTAGTGCTTTTGTGAAAAAAGACCCTGCAAAGCTCCTTAGCTCTTTTGTTTTGTGAGAATACAACCCATGTGAAGTCTTCAACCCAGACGCGGGCCCTCACCTATCCTGCCGGGACCCTGATTTTGGACTTCTGGCCTCCAAAGCTGCGAGAAATAAATTCTGTTGTTTAGAGGCCACCCAGTTTGTGGCATTTTGTTATGGCAGCTGGAATGGACTAAGACATCTTAGGAAACTTTTCTTAATAAGGAAAAAAAGATGTTATTGATTTAGAGAGGCAGGATGAAGAATAAACACCAGTTACACTGTCTCTGTATCTAGAAATGAAATTCTATTTCTTATTGATCTCTTTTAACAAGAAGAAAAAAGAAGTCAAGGGTGTGTTGAAGAGGTTCAGATGAGTTACCGTGCCCTGGAGAGAGGCTGGGCAGGGACGAGGCTGAGACGGCCCCCACACCAGGGGGGTGGATAAGGGAAGTAGTACAGGCAGAGTGCCTGCTTTCTGCAGGATTCTGGAAAAACCCTAGGATTGGGAGAGGCATACATTAAAAGAAGATTTGAACATTGGGTGGGTGAGGTCAGGGCACTTAGGACCTAGTCGTGGGGACAGGCAAGAGCAGGTACCAAACATGTGACAAAAGAGAATTAACGTAGAGCGGTGAGAGCAGAGCCTGTAACTGCTTGGGCAGATTGGGGAGGAAAGGTTAAGATCAGACATCATCTGAGGTAATGTCCCAGAGATGGTGATTTCTGACTTCAGTTTAGAAAGGAAGGTAAAAAATCAATTGATGGGAAATGCTCCCAGAAATGCTCCAGGGACTGACCCAGCTGAACTGCACGGAGAAGTGTTTATGCCAGGCCCCTTGGAGCAGGGAGTTGATGGCGGGGAGGGGGTGGTACAGAGGTCTGAATGCCACTGACCATCTGATTAAGGTCTGTAATGAACTCTGCTCTCTATGATTGGCTTCAAATGTATGACATTTTTAGCAGATGAATATACTGTGGAGATTAACATTAGCACCTGCCCCAAATGCTCACCCTGGAAAGGTGTTCTTGGAGAGTGCTGTTTTCAAATAGAGCTGGACATGTGACTCCACTGAGTGACTAACCAAGAATGAACTTCGATGGTGCGATGGCTTTCAGATGCCCTGATAAGGAAAGAAGAGGGATGATTTCATGTCCTAAGGAGTTTGAGCAAGAAGCTGATGACTGAGGCCAGCTACTAATTTGGAGTGATCCTCAAATGCAATGCTAACCATGTTGCTAGAAATAAATTGTCCCTATTGTATGTAACACCTCCAGGATCTTAGAAGGTCAGCTGTGTAAATCTGTATGAGTGGCCGCCTTTCTGAGTAATCACCACTTTGAGGAGCTCAGTGTCCGGCAGAACGAAGTCACTTTCTCCCATGTTGTATGTCATCGGAACATCCTGGGAAGGACCATGCTGTCCCACTCTGGGTTCCTCCATGAGTGTGGACTGGATAAAAATCTCTCCAAATTTATCTTACAAGATACAGAGAAATTGATTTGCTGCTGGCAACGAGCACATAGTTGATTATACTTCCATAATGAACTGGGACTATACAGTGGGCCACAGTAAATGTGACCTGTCTTCAACGGATTCTCGGTGTCAAGGAGCAAGCCTCCAATGTCTACCATGACTCTAGCAGAACTCCCTAAGCCGTGCTATATCACTGGCCAGTGAGACCCACTAGGGTGAAGAGGTATTCTATGCCCACCATCAGTGTGGTTTTTGCTTCCGGGATCCAAACACATTTCTGGGCACAGAGGGCCTCTCAAAAGCCCTTCTACTCCAAGCCCCAGCCTCTAAACTGAACACCTACAGCTCATCAGTGTTTCTGAGGTCCCACTAGCTTTCTCAAATAACCATATTTCCAGGCAGGAATTTCTGCACTCAGTCCCTCACCCTGCCTTTGTTCTCTGCCCTTTTTTGCCAAATACATCTTCCATGAGTTTAGAGACAGAGAAGCATGCGTCCAGGTATCTCTGCAGAATTGGATCGAATGTAGAGCCACGACTCCAGATCTGTAAGGAAAGGTAGTAGGTATTAGAGCTGAGAGGCTGGGTGATTTTCCCAGCCTGCCCTGTGGGGCAGCACAACATCAGACTCACTGTCAGCTCCACAGTGCCACCTTGTGGCTACAGGGTGCTCCTGTTTCCCTCTTACATGGGTGAGGGTGGCTCCCCACCCTCAAACTCTCTTCCCCATCACCACCCCATTCAAGAAGAGTGAACCCGGGGCATCTGGGTGGCTGAGTAGGTTAAGCATCTGATTCTTGGTTTTGGCTCAGGTCATGGCCTCGTGGTTCACGGGTTTGCACTTACAGTACAGAGCCTGCTTGGGATTCTCTCCCTCTCTCTCTGCCTCTCCCCCCAAGAAATAAATAAACGTTAAAAAAAAAAAAAAAGGAAAAAGAAGAGCAAATTTCAAATATTTCAGCTTGCATATCTCGTTGTCACTGCCCCTAGGAAACAAAGATGCCCAGAAATTTCCTGGTAATCTATTAAGGAGTTTTATTGGTCAATTTAAACCGCATCTCTGGGTTCCTGACCCAGGAGTGAACCACTGCAGCCTGGGCTGAGTTTAGAGCTTCTTGATAAATAAAAGACATATTTACATATAAAACGCAGACATAGACTTCTGGAAAACTGCTGGTTTATACCAAACAGCATAAAAAAACCATTCTGAGAAATCGCCACAGTCCACCAATTCACCTCCTCCTGCGATCTCCTGCCCTGCCCACCCCTACCCCTTGCTCCCACATGGTTCTAAGGGGCTGAAGTGCTGTATTTCACAGAGTCCACAGGACATACAGTTTACAAAAGTGCCCAGCCCCGAGACAGCATGGCTCCATTTCCCCTGGAATTAGCTGTCAGAAGTGAGATTGACCCCAGGGAGAGACCATCTTTCTTGCTTCCCACAGGGACCCTGGAGGTCACTCCCCAGGGGCATCTTTATCTTCTCTAACACCAGTGGAGTGTTGTATAGTTTATGGTCAACCCTCCTGTCCCCAACAAGGTTAGTTGTTCCTGTTTAACAAATGGGGAAACCATTGCTCAGAGAGATTAGAGGACTTGCCCCAATTCATACATCTAGAAAAGGAGTGAGAGCAGAACTCAAACCCAGGTGTTTGGAGTACAAAGCTGGTGTCCCAGTCACCATGATGAGCAACGATTTACTCAGTACTTACTTGGGCACCAGGGACAGGGACTATGGGTGAGGGGCAGGGGCTCTGGCTTACACACACAGCCCAGGAGCAACTTCGGCACCTCAGGCTGCCATGAGGCCCCTAAACCCAGCTCTGCCAGGACAGATGGACAAAGAAGAAGTGGCTGGATGTCAGGAACTGACAGAGGTAACAAAGTGTCACGAGGAGAGACCATGGGCGCTCACGTCTGCCTTAAGCCTTGGCCCATCCGGGTCCATGTCCCACTCTTCTTTAGCATTGAAGGCTTGGGATGGCTTTGCTCACTCACAACACTCAGCCAGAGTTCTTGTCATTTAAGCAAGCCTAAGGAGGCTTCTCAGAGTTGAGTGACTTCTTAAAGCTCAAAGTGACACTCATTCCTTACAGCTTCCCTAGGAGTAGAGGCAGAGAATCTGTTCCCTAGAGCCGCTCTCAGGAGCTCTTAATTAGATTAGCAGCCCCTTGCATTAGTGGAGAGCTCATAGGTCTACCAACCACTTTTACATCCACAGTCCTATGTGACCTTCACAACAGAGATGCAGGATAAGCCAGAATTCTCCCCATGTTGGTCACCAGTGGTGGTAGAATCAGGATCCCGTTCTTCTGACTTTTCAGCTGATGCTCTTTCCACTATCAAAGCCATCTCTTAGATTAGAACCAGAATTAGGGTACGGAAGCCACGTCGTGATCTAAATCCCACTGGAGGTAATGAGGAGGAGCACGGCAAAGCCTCAGAGTCTCCCCATACCACTGCCTCTCCCAGCTTCAGCACCACAGAATTGAAGTCAAAAGTATACAGTGTGGCCATCAAGGGATCCATCTTCACCAGAATTGAGTCAAAGGGTGTCAATATCATTGTCATGAAAATCCAAGAATTCTTCTGGAGCCTGTTGGTTAGAAAGGCTCCACTGTAACACTATAGAGTGTAGTCTTGCAAAGTCATGACACCTTAGAGCTGGAAAAGACCTTATAGATCATCTCTGTCCAAACAAGTCAGAAGATGGAGGCCCCAAGAAGGGAGAGGACTTGTCCAAGGGCATACAGGTACCTGAAGGCAGAGCTGAGTCTCAAATCCTAGGATGCTGACTTCATCACAGCATGGATGGCTTTTAGGGAAGCTCTGAAAAGCCTTGAGGAAGTCCAGAGCCATGACCCGGCCCCACTTTCTGTACAGATGTCCCCCCTCTGGGCAGTCCCAGAGGAAGGTGCAGTGCAGATCCCTTGGGGGAATAGGGAAAGCAATCAATCCCTGCTGCTTTGGAGGCTTCATCCACTCTTAATTTTATTGTGACCATTTGCATCTGCTCCTTTCCTCTCCTTCTCATACTCCCTCCCAGTGGGTCATACCACTGAGGATCTACTTTGTCTTGTCACCCATCCTATAGGGGTGGATGGTATGGGGAGAAGAAAAACTAGCATTTGCAGAATTTTTACTAGTTACAGGTGCTGTACTTAATCCTGCATCTCCCTTCAGTAGTCAGGTGGGCATAGCAGGTAAGGCTGATCTACCTGCTCTACCCATCTCCATTCACTTTCCTTCATGGAAGAAGCCTCCTTATACAAACAAACAAACAAATACAGGACCCAGATAGAGAAATAGGATACTTCTCACAGTTTTTCACTTCTCCCCTCTCCTGGTTGGGCTGGGTGTGCTAGTCAGGTTAGGAGGGGGACAAATAGTCAAGGTGGGAGACCAGCTTGAGTCCCTGCTCCCTGTGGACCCCCAGACAGGGCCATCGTCGGCCTGCCTGAGACCTGGGGCACCACATCCACCACATGGGTGCGTACCCAGACACTCTGCACAGGAGTAGGGAAGCAGGCGCTTTCACTCTTGCTGACTCCCAGCCTGTGAGATTGGGAGCAAATGCGGGCAGCCCACACACCAGAGGCAACTCCAACACCAGGGGTAGGGCAGCCACTCTGGCCCCCTCACCCTGCCTCAAACTGGGCTCCCCCAACTCCCGCCCTGGCCCTCCTGGCTTTTACACCCAACGTTGAGACGAGCAGAGATCCTCCACCAGCCTCGCGGGTGTGCCAGACCCCAGGGACTGTGTTCCCTAAAAGACACCAGTCTCTGTGTGGGCTTCCCTGTCCACCTGTTCGGAGTCCTTCAGTGAGCCTTCAGTCTCAGGGCCCCCGCTGAGCCTGGGGCTGAGGGGGAGGGTGGGCAGGCCGCTGGAGCAGGTCAGCAGCGTGGTGTGGCGGCTGGGGAGACTGAGGCTGGACAGCTGCCGGCGTGGCTGGGGACCCCCGCAGCAGCCCAGGCGGCGCAGCAGCTGTGGCCGCAGGTGGCTGTTGAAACCCATGGAGACCCAGGGGTTGCAGCAGCTGCTGAGGTTGCCCAAAAGCATGGAGATGGTGAAAGCCACGTTGGTTGAATCTGCAGAAGGAGAAGCACAAGAAGCCTTAGAATCACAGGGCTAGATGGGACCCGAGAGAGTCCAGGCCCCCACTGAGCAGAGGACGAAATGGAGTTCCTAGAGGAGAGAAAGGACTCACTTGAGTTCTATAATTAGAAAGGAGCAGGGGCGCCTGGGTGTCTCAGTCAGTTAAGCACTGGACTTCAGCTCAGGTCATGATCTCACAGTTCGTGGGTCAAGCCCTGCTTTGGGCTCTGTGCTGACAGCTCAGAGCCTGGAGCCTGCTTCAGGTTCTGTGTCTCCCTCTCCCTCTGCCCCTCCCTCACTCATGCCCTCTTTATCTCTTTCTCAAAAATAAACATTAAAATTTTAGAAAAAGAAAGAAAGAAAGGAGTGCAGCTGAGACTTGAAGCTGGGACTCAAAAATAAATATTAAAAGTTAAAAAGAAAGAAAGGAAAGAAAGAAAGAAAGAAAGAAAGACAGACAACTGGGACTTGAAGCTGGGACTCAGGCTCCAGAGTCTTACCTTACTGCATTTTGTTTGCAAGCACAAGGTATGGGTAGGAGCTAAGGTTTGCTCCAAATTGACTTTCAAGGTGTAAACATAGCCAGGGACAGGACCACCTAAGTAGGAAACAGTGTCTTTGTTCCAAAACCTAGACCTTGAATCCCCTAATGGATGGAGATCTAGAATGAGGCAACCTCTGTAAGACACGCAGGGAAAATACCTACGATTCTAAGCCAAGTTCAGGCCCCTTTGACCCCAATCTCATTCATGTTGTAGATATGGGTGCACACTGTTTTCTGGATTCTGTCTTCCTTGACCCCTCAAGGACAGTTCCACTCATTCTGTCACTCAGTCATTGAGCACATGAGCACTGACAGTGCCAGGCCATTGCCGGGGACCTGGGTGGGCCATCAGTAGAAGCTGACTGCCCTGCAGGCACGATGACATCATCTCCAACTGCAGTGGAGGGTCAGCTTCTAGGTACAGGGTACCCAAGCATCCCTTTCTGGATGAATACTTGTTCTGTGTCCTCAGAGAGTATACCCAGGGAATATGCCATCGTGCTGGGAAAAAACTAATTTCTCTCTTGGACGGTCAAAATGTGAGAATGCAAACTGGCAAGATTTCTCCCAGACATAATAGTCTTTCTGAAGACTACATGAAGTTCCACATGCCAAGAGGAAAGTTCCGGGATAGGCCTTGACCTTCTGCTGGATGCACCATGTGAGGCATATGGCAGAGTCTATAGCATCATTAAAAGCAATGTCAGAGCTTTAAGGAATCTTAGGGGCTCTGGTACAGACTGGAAGCCAGGTCTACTGACTCTAAGACAACAATCCTGTACCCTGGTGAAGTTTCACCCAACAAACTCAAAGGCAAAGCCCTTTGCCTACTCTGTAAACACTATCAAGTCTGCAGATACTCTGGTTCATGTGTACATCTCCTGTAGGTGTGCTCGTAGGTGTGGCTACTCACAGCCCAAGCAAAGGGAAGACACAGGGTCAGAACATTTGAGAGAAGACACAGATCACAGGCGTGAGAAGCTGAAGGTATCTGGATTGACCCATGAGGGCAAGGGGAGGGTACCTGTAAGTAGAGGAGGGACCAGCCTCAACAAAAATAGATTCTCCTTCATTTTTCTTACATCCTGGCCTGCTCCCCAGCTAACATAAAACCTGGATGCTGTGGAAGATGTGGGAGGTTGCTTTGGATAAGGGGGTGGTGTTCATCCTATCCATTCCATTGATAATATATTTAGTGCCTAGATTAGGCCGCGGATGGGGGAAGGGGTCCACAAGTGTCTTTGCTTGGGAAACATCTGTTTGATTTGGCCCCATCTAAGCCTGGCCCAGTGCAGCGGCTGGAGATGCACCATGAACACCAGAGTCTACAGAGGCCCCACCTCTCAGCCCTGGAGGGCAGACCCATCATGCTCAGTGCTAGGCTGCTGTTGCGTCCTGGCGGAAACTCAGCTGATAGCTGGGGGCAGCAGCAAGGCCACGGAGACAGGTAGGCTCTAACCAGACACTTGGGGACAGAAGGTCAAGAGGCTGGCATGCTGTGGAAAGGAACTGGGTGTACTGGAAAGTAAGTTTAAAGTAATGGATCTCAGCACAACTAGAAGGGCCCCAAAGCACTTCCACTTTTCTGAGAGAGCATACTGTCTCTGTAAGGTGACATTTTGTCTCCACTCTCTTTGCTCAGAGAGGCCCTTGGTAAGTGGTAACTCACTCTACACAGGTGAGCGATGTGTACGGACGGACAGGCTCATGGTCATAGTGACACAGCAGGCAAGCAGGGGGGCCTGCACTGGCTGGGTGGCAGGGTCCACATCTTCTTGTAGGTTCCTTGGTAAAGGGGCAAATGACTATGCCCCACCCCACACCCTCTGTCATTGGCTACGCTGGATGGTTGAGAGTAAAGCTGTGTCACGGATAATGCTAGACCTATAAAGACCTTGATTTAAGCCCTGGCTCCATCTCTTACTAGCAGTGGCACTTTGGACCAGTGTTTCCACCTCTCTGAGTCTCAGATTACTCAGACATAAAGAGGCCACCACTAAGTACCAAGGACTGAAGCCCTCTTTCCTTGTATTCTGTGCTTAAGTAGAGCAGGGAGGTCCCTACAGTTGCTTAGAGCCAATACATTCATTGCTTACAGGGTAATTTGCAAATAGCCTCAAATAGCCTATTTGCAAATAGGACAACAAATGGATGTCCAAACGAAGGAATAAAATGGGACCTTAATAGTTTGGTTTCACAATTAATAGAATTAACTTAATAGAATAGTTTCACAATTCTCTTGCAGGGTTGTGTTAAATTCATGAACAGCCTGGTCCTTATTTAATCTCTCCAGAAAAGCAAAGTATATTTGGCTTGAGTGTGTCCTGGGATGAGCAAAGTGAGGTTAGAAAACAAAAGCACAAGGGAAGGGGGAACCACGCTCTACGAGCTGGTAGGGGTTGGTAGCCTGGATCCACTCGTCATCAAACTCTTAGGAAGCTTCCAGAAGAACCTGTGCACGAGGCCTCCCTAGGGCAGTTACATGCTGCACGCAGTATACATCCCAGGCTACATGACATGCACTGGAGAACACAGTCACCCCATTCACAAACACCCAGATGGGGTGACTTGCACTTGTCCCCATGCCCCACTCTTCTTAGGAGAGGGGGACCCCTGCTGTTCGACAACTAGGCGGCCCGGACACAGCCCTGCTTTCCTGAGAACACACTCCTCCCCCACGAGCTGGACCATCTGGCTGTGTCTAAATCTCAGGAGCCTGCCATCTACCTCCCCCCAGAAAACTGACAATAGCCGGACCTCCCAGGTGTCCACTGGAACATGGCCCTCGTGGAAGGTCCCATTTTGATTTTAACCTGTAGGAGGAAGTCCCCTCTCCTCACCACTTCCAGAGTCAGGATTATGAACAGGGCATGGGGTAAAGGACAGCAGCGCTGGGCTCTACCCTTCACTTTGCCACTCCCTAGCTGGGTGGCCTTGGGGAAGTCACATTTCCTCCCTGAGCCTCTCTTCCTCATTAGCAGAATGAAGGAGTTAAACTTGACATTTCAGGGCTGTCATGTGCCAACGTGCTAATTAATTGGAAGTGATTGTTGGGAAGGAGTTTAAAGTCTTGTCCAGGCTCAGAAGGGAAGAGCACTGAGAGACCCAGCTGACGGGTCACAGACTGTCATCCTGGACAATGTGAAAATTCTTTTCAACTCAGTCGTTCTAGGATTCTTATGCTTATGTATGAAACTGGCCAAAACTGCCAACCGTCACGTTTCATTAAGGCCACGTGATATTTTTAAATGTTTAAATTAGGTGCCCAAATTTTAAAATATGGAAATTTTACATAAAAGGTACTCACATGGCATCAGTAGGCTGGTCGGGAGTTGTAGCTTCTCACATGGGACAGCCCTCTCCCCGCCCCCCCCCCTTCATTATTGCTTCACTCATCTGTTACCTCCCTGGCCCAGAAGGCCTTATAACCCTGTCCTGGCCCCGCTTTCTCCCTTCCCTGCTCCTTTCCACTCACCCCTCCCGCACAGACACACACTTGCCTTCGTCGGGGGCATCTTTGTCCCACACAGACCACATCTGGACGCTGAAGAAGGGTGCCCAGCAGGCGATGTAGGCCAGCACGATGACGAAAGTCATCTTCACGGTTCGGATCTTAGCCCTCGAGATGGTACTGGTGCTGCTGACCCGGGATGGCAGGCCCCGTGTGGCTGCAGCGGGGACAGAAGGCGACGTCCCGTCCCAAGTCCTCCAGCCCCTTCCTTCCACCTTGCGGGCCTGCGTCTTGACTTTTAGGTTCTTACAGATCTCGTGGTAGATGAGGCTGTAGCAGGCTGTGAGCACGGCCACAGGCAGGACAAAGATGGCCAGGGTGGTCCAGGTGATATAAACCCGAGGCCCCCAAGGGAAGCGGAAGTCTGCCCAGCAGTCCAGCACCCCCGTGCCCTGGATCACCTCCCGCAAAGAAAAGATGAAGACTTGAGGCAGGCTGAGGATGGCAGCCAGCAGCCAGGGAGCAGCGATGAGAGGGTACGTGGACTGGCCGGGCTGCTGGAGGCTGCGCAGGGGGTGACAGACAGCCAGGTAGCGGTCCAGCGTCATGGCCAGCAGCATGTAGGTGGAGGCGAACATGCTGAGCACCTGCAGATACTTGACGGCCCGGCAGAGGAGGTCAGGGCCCTGGAAGCGGTAGGTGATGTCCCACAGCAGCTGGGGCAGCACCTGAAACAGCGCCACCCCCAGGTCGGTCAGGGCGAGGTGCAGAACAAACAGGTGCACGCGGGTGCGCTTGCGGCCTGGCTGCCCCAGGGTCAGCAGCACAGTCAGATTGCCGCCTGTCGCCAGCGCCAGGACGGCAGCCAGGACGCCGATCTCCACCTTGGCCAGCTCCTCATCCCGGCCCATCCAGGGTGTGGTGGCATTGGGGGCGGAGAAGGTGCCCCCGGGGGTGGGAGTGGGGTTAGCAGCCCAGGGGGGCCCAGAATCCATGGCTGAGTGTGCCAGGAGTGGAGGGAGGGGAAGGGTGGAGGGAGAGGGGCGGACAGAGGGACAGTGTGGAGGCTAGTGGAGAGACTTGATGGCTGAAATGGAGTGAGGAGGGAAAGGTTTCAGACGGGGAGAAAGGAGAAGAGGCTGGCTAGAAGACGGCGAAAATACAAATAGTTGAGAGGATCCGGATAGAGAGGAGGAGGAGAGAGAGACACAGTTAAAAAAGAAGAGGCTGATCGCACAATGCAGAGGGGAGACCTAGGAGAAGAGAAAGAAGAGCTCAGGGAGACAGGGTGTCAGGAAAGAAGAATGGATGAGGCTGTGCGGGGTTCTGGAAGGGAAGGAAGCCTGGGGAGCTGCTACCATTCCCGATCCACCCCAAATTCACTTTCCCCTAACTTCTGGAAGTGGAAAGCGGATGTCCGGAAGCCTGCTTGGAGGCGAGGTCCGCGCCATCAGCGTCCTGCGCTAAAGCGACCCCGCCAAGCCCGCGCCTCCCGGGGAGCGGCGACCAGAGGCAGCGGGGGCGCAGCGCCTGGAGCCCAGCGGGTTTTATGCGCTGGAAGCAGGAGCCCTGCGGCCCCGGGCGCGCCGGTTGGTTCCAGCAGAGGAGGGCGGAGTGAGGTTCCCGCGCACGCAGCCCACAGGAGGATCTGGGCGGGGTGGGGATGGGGGTGGGGGTGGGGGTGGGGGGGCGGGGTGGGGGAGGGATGGGGGAACAGAGGGGTCAGCAGACCAGGGGCAGGGAGCGAGAGAAGCAGAAGACGCAAGCGAGCGCTCACCCGCTGGCCAGACAACCTCCTCTGCACTCTCACTCCGGAACCGTCTCCCAAGACAGGTGCGCACGCGGAGGGTGGGGGGTAGTGACCCCCCCACCACCACCACGCGGGGACCCTAAGGCGGGCAGCGCTATTGGGCATGCCCCCTGCTTCGAGGTCCCTGCTAGGTCGCGAAGGGTCCAGAATCTGCAGGGGTGGCCAGGTGGGCGAGGTGGCGCCCCCAAATGGAGCCCTCTGCCCTTGGGAGCGACCACTGACCGCAGCTACTGGTGGAAGATCTAGAGCCGCAGGAAGGAGGAAAAACCGAGGACGGGCGTGGAGAGGGATCGGTGGCGGAGATCCGACCTGGGAGCCCCTGGGCGGTGGGTGGGAGCGCATTCCGGCCCGAGAAGTCTTAACCCGACGCCTCCGCGCAGTGTTTCATCTGCAAAATCGCAAACGCAGTTAACCGCCTTGGAGGGTAGAAAACTGGTCCAGAGAAGTGACAGGAGCTGCTCTGAAGGTCACAGAAGCAGCACACAGGAGAAGCAGGACTCGACCCGTGCAGTGTGCCCTTCCCAGAGCAGACCTGACTAACGCTCCGTATATGAGAAGCACCGGTGCCCCGGGGACAGATGCCTACACGAGGTGGATTATTGGGACAGATACCTGAGCAGAGTAGACGTTCATTAGGGGTGACAACAGCAGGGCGCCTGGGTGGCTCCGTGGGTTAGCCTCCTACTCTTGATTTGGGTTCAGGTCATGATCTCAGGAGTTTGAGGCCAGCCTCCGCCCCCCCACCCATGGCACTCTGCACTGTCAATGCAGACTGCTCTCCCTCTCCCTCTCTCTGCTCCTCCCCCAATCATGCGGCTTTCTGTCTCAAAGTAAATAAGTAAACTTAAAAAGGAGGGTGACGACAGCATATCTACCACCCTTATCGGGGGTCCACGATTGCTCCAAGGCCCTCTTCTCTGGCCTTTTAATCAAACCAGATGCCACTTTATGGTGTCACCCACCCAGCCAAGCAGTTACCATCACCTTTTGAAGAGATTACCTCCCAAACACCTAGAATTCATCACCACTCCATCCCACTGCCACCGTTCACACTATTTCTGTCCCCAAATACTGTAGCATGTCTTGTGCACCTCAGCCCAGGCTCCACCTTCTCAAGGATTTTGTGCTCTGTGAATGATAAGTTTAAGTGCGTCTATTGCTCATTCCCATCTGGAGGCAAACTCTTGCCCTTCACAGCAAAATTTCTCTAAGGGGCTGTCTAGCTGGTCTCCATTTTCTTGCTCCCATTTACTTCTTGACATATTCATTAAAGTTATATATATTTAGAGGTGCCTGGGTGGCTCAGTTGGTTGAGTGTCTGACTTCAGCTCAGGTCATGATCTCAGAGCACATGAGTCCCAGGCCCCACCGTGGGCTTTGTGCTGACAGCTCAGAGCCTGGAGCCTGCGTCAGATTCTGTGTCTCCCTCTCTATGCCCCTCACCACTTGCATTCTGTCTCTCTCTCTTTCTCTCTCAAAAATAAACATTTGAAAATTATGTATACTTAAACATGTTTTTAAAATATTACATGTTACGTAAATGACATCATACTCAAAATACCACTCTAGAACTTACTTTTTAAATTCTGCTTTATTTTTGATATCTGTCCATGATGATATGTAGGATAGATCTAGTTCATTCAGTTTAAATGCCAAATGGTATTCAAGTCTGAGAACATAACACCTTTATCTCAAACCCTATTTTTACAATTGATTTCCAGCTCCTTTCTTTTCCTATTTTTTTAAATGCTACAATAAATATTTGTATGAATGCCTCCTCGTGTTCATGTGCGAGAATTTTCTGGGGTGTACATCCGGAAGTGTATGCTGGGTATTCATATTCTTGGGTCACACAATGTATGAATTTTCAGTTAGATTGGACCATATCCTAACTTTTATCTCTAAATTTGTTATACCGATTTATTCTCCCACCAGCTGCACTTGACTTTCTTGACATCCTCATAGTCAGATGTTTCAGATGTTTTCCTTTTCACCCATCCAACTGGTGTGCAACAGGATCTCATTTTGCTTTTATATTTTATTTCTCTGATCTCTAGTTATTTTGGGTATCTTTCCATATATTTATTCATTGTTGGGGTTTCCTCTTCTGTGAATTATTCACATCCTCTACACAATTTTTGTTTAGGTTATTTTTCTTACCCATTTGTAAGGGTTTTTTTTACACATTCTGGTATGAACGTTTATGCATTCTGGTTATGTCACAGATACTGTTCTCTAGTCTGCCACTTATCTTTTAACATTGTTTATGGAGTCATTTGTGACAGAAAATCTAAATTCCAATGTCATCAATACTTTCTTTTATCACTTCTTTTCTGTGTTCCCTATTTTGAGAACGGAGATATCCCCACTATATTTCTTTTTAATATGTTTAGCATTTGTTTTTCATATTTAGGTCTTAAATCCACCCAGTATTTTTGTGTATGTTCCAGTAAGAATCTAACTTCATTTTCCCCCCACATGGCTAACCAATTTCTTCATTTATTGATTATTATTATTCTTCAATGTTTTACTTATTTTTGAGAGAGAGACAGAATGCAAGTGGGAAAGGGGTAAAGAGAGAGGGAGACCGAATTGGAAGCAGGCTCCAGGCTCTGAGCTGTCAGCACAGAACCGGATGCCAGGCTCCAACCCATGAACCATAAGATCACGACCTGAGCTGAAGTCGGACACTTAACCAGCTAAGCCTCCAGGGGCCCCCAAGTCGTTCTTCATTTATTGAGTAGTCCATCATTTTTTAACTGTCATCTGTTAATAGCTCAAGTTCAAAATATGTATGAGCCTATTTCTGGGAACTCTTTTCTGTTCCATTGGTTTATTTTCTATCCCTGCTCTAATATTTCACTATTTTAGGTACTGAGGTTTTATAATAAACCCTAATATATGGTGAAAACAAGATTTTCTCTTTTTCTTATTTTCAAAATATTTTTCACAAGTTTAAAATTGTGGGAGCACCTGGGTGGCTAAGATGGTTGAGCATCCAGCTTTGGCTCAGGTCATGATCTCCCGGTTTATGAGTTAGAGCCCTGTGTGGGCTCTGTGCTGACTGTTTAGGGCATGGAGCCTGCTTCGGATTCTGTGTCTCCCTCGCTCTCTGCCCTCCCCCACTTGTGTGCATGCACTCTCTCTCTCAGAAATAAAAATGAATAAGCTTTAAAAAAGTTGTGAAATTGATGTTTTGTTCCACAAAACATTCTGTTAAGCTTTTGGTTGGAAGCATTGATTTTAAAGAATAGTTTGAGGAGAATTCACATTTATGATTTTAACCAGATCTATTTTTACGACCTTCAATAATGTTTTATCATTTTCTTCATAAGTGTTGTTCCATCTTTTGATAGATTTCTTTTTGTAAGGCTAACAGTTTCTGTTGCCTTTATATACAGAATTTGTTTTATCATATTTTCTAATTAGTTATGGCCAGTGTATGGGAACAATATTGATTTTTATATCTTGTTCATATATTCAGCAATTTTGCCACACACTCTTATTATTGGTAAATTATTTTGAATTATCTATGCATTTAATATTACCTACAGACAATGATCATTCTTTGTCTTTTATTCCCAATCCATTTACTCTTATTTCTTTTTCTTGTCTTATTGTGATGGCCAAGTCTCCACTACAAATTTGAAGCACAGGTACCATTGAGTTTCTGACTTTAAAGAGAATGCTTCTAAAGCTTCACCATTAAGTACCATATGTATGAAATTATCTTTACTTTTAATTTAAAGAATATATTTCATTTTGCACATACATAGTACAAAAAAATCAAATGATTCTATAATGGTTGGTATGAAAAAAAGCAATTCCTTCCCCCCAATTGCTCTATTTTTAATTCCCTGCAGGTAATCAGTTTCTTCCAGTTTTAAAGGTTTTTATTAAAAACATTTTAACCATATACAAAAGTAGAGAGAACAGCACTTCATAGGAGAACATAGTTGTTCCTCTTTCCTTTTTGCAGTTGCCTGTCACTCCAATTTGTAGATGTGTCGTACTTTATCCAACCCCCTTTGATGGGGATTTTGGTTGTATCTGATCTTGCTGTTACAGTCTTGCTTCAGTAAATTGCCTTGTATATATTTCTTTCCATATTTTGCCAATATACCTTTGTGGTAGGTTTCTAGAAGTGAGACTGCTGGGTTATGGGCTATTTGCATGAATAGTTGT